GAGAAGAAGCTTTTTAGTACGAACTCATCCCAGTTATTGATTCTTAGTTTTCCTTCTTGCTCCTTTGGGGTTTTGTTGAAAAAAAATCAGATCCTAGCCCAACATGATGAAGATTTGGGCCTACTTTTTCTTCTAGTAGGTGCATGGTCTTTGGTCTAATTCCTAGGTCCTTGAACCATTTAGAGTGGAGTTTTGCGCATGGTGAGAGGATAGGGGTGTAATTTTATTTTACCACATATGAATTTCTAGTTTCTCCAGCAACATTTGTTGAAAAGGCTCTCTTTTCTCCAATGCACATTTTTGTCACCTTTGACTAGTATGAGATAACATATTTATGTGAATTTGTGTCTGTGTTCTCTATTCCACAACTCTATTTTGGTGCCAATACCATGTCATTTTTGTTACTATAGCTCTGTAGTGAAGTTTAAGTTCTGGTATTGTGATGCCACCTGCTTCCGTCTCCTTGCTAAGGATTGCTTTGGATATTCTGGGTCTCTTATTTTGCAGATGAATTTGATAATTGATTTTTATATTTCTAGAAGGAATGCCATTGGGATTTTGACTGGAATTGCATTAAATCTGTATAACACACCTTTGGTAGTATGGTCATTTTGACAATAGAGTAATTCTGCCTATCCTAGAACAAAGGAGATCTTTCCATCTTCTAAGGTCTTTTTTTTAAGTTTCTTTATTTAGTTTTCTGTGGTTTTTGTTGTAGATTTCTTTCACCTCTTTTGTTAGGTTGATGTTCAAGTCTTTTGTCTTTTGAGGGTATTGTAAATGGGGTAGTTTGTTTAATGTCTCTTTTATAGAGTTCATCACTGATGAACAGAAAGGCATTTGATTTATGAGTGTTGATGTTATATACTGCTACTTTGCTGAATTTATTTATTAGTTCTTGAAGTTTTCTGGTAGAAATTTTTGATTGTCTAAAATTGTAGAATCATGTTGTTGGAAAACAGTGATAGTTGAGGTTCTTCTTTTCCTATTCATATCACTTTAATTTCTTTGTCTGTCKAATTGCTCTGTCAAGCATTTCAATGACAATGTTAAATAGAAGTGATGAAAGAGGGCAATCCTACCTTGTTTCAGTTTTGAAAGGGAATGTTTTCAATTTTTCTTTGTTTAGAGTGATGGTGGCCTTTGCCTTAGCATAAAGAGCATTTACAATGTTGTGATATGTTCCTATCTTCCCTGGGTGTTCTATGTTTTGAACATGAAGGGGTGCTGTATTTTGTCAAATGCTTTTTCTACATCTATTGAGATGATCATACTATTCTTACCTTTTAGCCTATTGATGTGATGAATTACATTTATTGATTTCTGTGTGTTGAATCAAATTTGCATCCCTGTAATGAACCCCACTTGATTGTGTTACACTATATTTTTAATGTTTTTGTATGTAATTTTCCAGAATTTTATTGAGAACTTTTGCATCTATGTTCATTCAGGATAATGGTCAAAGTTGTCTTTTCTTGATGTGTYTTTGTCTGGATCTGTTATCAGGGTGACACTAATCTTATAAAATAAGCTTATAAGGGACCTTCCTGTTCTATTGCATGGGATAATTTTAGGAGTACTGATATTAATTCTTCTTTAAATATCTTACAGAACTCAGCACATAATCCATCTGGACCTAGGCTTTTCTTGGTTGGTAGGTTTATGATGGTGCCTTCTATTTCTTACGTGAAATTGATCTCCTTAAATTTTGTATATGCTGCTGATTCAATTTGGGCAGATCATATGCCTCTAGAAATTTGACAGTTTTTTCAATTTTACTGGGGTGTAAATTGCCAAAATAATTTTTAATTGTTCTTTGTATTACAGTGTGTCTGCCTTAATATTATCCTTTTCTTTGTATATTTTAGTAACATGCATTTTCTCCCTCCTTTTCATTAGGGTGGCTAAGGGTTTATCTGTTTATTGTTTCCTTCATTTTGAAGATTTATGTTTCTTTGGTTTTTTTTTCAGAATATCTCTATCTTGATATAATCTTTTGCTACCTGTCATTGACCTCTTGTCTCCTTGTTGGAGTGATCAATCAGTGCCCATATTTGCCCTCTTATATCATTCTTTGATTGGCAGACTATGTTAATTATGTACAGTTTCAACTCTTTTTCTGATGTTTCATCTACTACTCTGTCATTGGGAACTTTTATTATAGCGTCTTGGTTTGTTTGGCACACTTTTCTTTCTTGGTTTTTCATGTTGTCTTTGTGTCTTTCTCTCTTGCAGTGTGGTTTTGAGGTATTACAATTTCCACCCTATAATCTTGTAGTGTCCCTGCAGGTTATCAATACCTCACTTTTAAGGGGGAGATCAATGTTTACAATACCCAGTACAAAAAAAAGTGCCAATATAAATCAAATGACAGATTTTGTCACTGTAAACAGAAATGATGTATTTGATTATCATTTGCCATACAGACAGTAGATTTGCATAAGGGTTTGCAGTTTCTAATGCTATTCAGAGAAAGACTAGAGGGTGTGGAATGAGGTGTTTATGAGGTAGGATTGAGAATATAGAGGTATTAGTTCATAGGAAATTTGAAAGGGGAATCAAAAGGAGTTAGCTCTTAGCATTAGGAAATTGAGAAAGAAGTGATCACATGCATCAAGATGGTGTCTATTAGCATAGTATTAGGGATATCTCTGGTGTAACCAGACCCACGGGTCCTGGTTCTTGTCCCTAGTTGAAAGCACCCATATACCTAGTTAGTGGCGGCACTAGTGTGAAACCTGGAAGTCCGCTTCAGGGTACCTTGGCAGTTGCACAAGATGGAATTTGTCCCAACTAAAGACGACAGAGGCAGCAGCAGAGGTAATCCAAGATGGAGATAACTGCTTTCAGAGATGGGGCTGGGAKGGCGGGCTGTGCGATGGCGTTGGGCTGCCTGTTCACGGATGAACCACTGTGGTGTGCAGTGCTGCAGCAGGCATTGCCTCCAGCCCCTATCTGTTTGTGGTTCCATGGTGGGGACTGCCACTTGGTAAGGACCATGGCAGTGGCTGCAGATGGAGGTGCTGTGGAAGGAGCAACTCCTTGGTGTTGTGGAGCTACAGAGTGGCCATCATCTCCACGTGGCAGGTTCATACCCTCCTCCCCCAAGGCGGCATGTTGTCATGGCCCCTCCTCCTACTTCCTGAATTCCAGATGCAGATGCCCTAGGTCTTGCCCTGCTCCTCCATCTGATAAGTCATCTTTAACAACTCATTTCTCTTATAAGGTCTCTGAAACTTGCCCTTATCTGTGATGGTAAGTTTGCTACCAAAAGCATGGTCTTTGTCCCTGATGTCATTCCAAAAACAAGGACCAAATTTTGAGTACATAAAAAAAGAAGTTTCATTGATATTTCTCTCTGGACTCCTCTGTCCTGAGATGCCTAGTGTAGTCTGTATGTTGTGTCCACTGAAGGCCTTCTGTTGAAAACTCCACCTCTGATTAGAGTGTATTACAACATGGGGCCTCATAGAGGTAATTAGATTTAGATGACTACAAGAATATGGAGCCAACGGGATGGGAATTGTGAAAAGAAATAGAGCTCTCCATTGGACACAGGAAGAGGATGGCAAGAGGATGAGTGTACCTAGCAAACCAGCAGGCTGCCCTCATGGTATATCAGGACTGCAAGTGATTGGAGTGTTCCTCATTAGCCTCCAGAACTGTGAGAAACAGTATGTTGTGTAGGGCACATGGCTCTGGGATTGTGACAGCAGCCTGAGCTGAGACACTGTATCCTCTTCACCTGTCTGGAGGCTGCATTTCTAGCATACAGCCTTGCTCTCTCTACTCCAAGGTGCCTGTTCCCAGAGTCCACTGGTCTTTCCAGAGAACTCATAACAGACTTGCATGGGAATCCTGTGTAGGGACTCTCACTGCAAGCCTGTTCTGGATCATCCATGGGAAGATGAATGATTGTGGCAGAGCTGGAGAGAAACCAAGCTAGAGTGTGTGGTGTCTAGTCATTGCGGGTGGAAGAGGACAGATCATACCTCTAGGGTGAAGACCTTAAAGATCACAGGTAATATATCTATTTTGGGAAAACATATCCATATTTGTACTTTCTTTAAGATAACTAGCTTAAATTAGTACCAAAAGTGAGCCAGGAGTGGAGGGGACAGGTGGTGGGAGTGGGGCTCAGATCATGTTCCCAGGCCATGCCTCCTGTAGCAATCAGCTTCCAGGTGGAAAAGAAGTAGATCTTGGAGAACTGGAACATATGTGTAGGTGACTCCTTGGAAAACTATAAATTAACACATTTCTACCTCTATAGTTTTCCCTCCTCAACATAGATTTCCAGAAGGTTGAAGAAAAGGGTAGATAGACCATCCCAAAGCACTTGGGATAGTGACTGTGTCCTTCATTGTGGCTGTACTGCGACCTGTCTCATGAATTTTGACAAATTACTTTACCTCTGTTCATAAGTATCTGTTGTGATGAACACGAATCTATCCACAAAAAAAGTAGGAAGAAATGTTTCATTGAAACAAATCTCTCTCTCTCTCTCTCTCTCTCTCTCTCTCTCTCTCTCTCTCTCTCACACACACACACACACACACACACACACACACACAGACACACAATTTTTTTCTGAGCATTAATAAAGTTCCTTGTATGTATAGAAAAAAAATTCTGTTGACATCATCGTTGTATCCACAATGTCACACACATCTACAACAGAGTACGTGATTAGTAAATTTGTTAGGATGGGTGAGTGACTAAATAAGCTTTAAAATTCTATCTATAAAACGAAGCACAACTGTCAGTCAATACATATTATGAAGACAGAACACAGTATGTATAAATACCAAGCAAGGATCTTACATGGATATAAATGTCACAGAAGAAAAATATTTCATTGAGATGTTTATTTTTGCATAGAAGGATAGGGGATGCGATTGGTGTACTGATTAGAAAGAGCCATGATGATGTCCTAGGAGGTAACATAGATTAAAGGTAAAGTTGAGACCAAGGGGTGGATCATGAAGAGAGAAAGGTGTTTAGTTGGCAGCAATGGTCTCTTGAATCCAGTCCAGGTAGTTGCAGACTTTGGTGTAGACACCGGGTTTGCCTTTCAGAGCACAGCCCAAGCCCCAGGACACAATACCCTGGAGCTCACCATTGCAGACCAYRGGGCCACCAGARTCACCCTGGGCAAGAGGAAAAGACAGTCAGAGCTCTTGTTCATGCCCAGAACATTTCTCCATGATCCAGGTAGATATTTTTATCCAATCTCTGATTCCATATGATATACCTTTCTCCTCCTGAAAATGCAATCCTCATTCTCCCCTATATCCCTATTGTTCTTCCTCCTTCTAATCAGGTGTCCCTCTTCTTTCCTTAGTAGCACCATAGGGCCAAGAAATTTTGAGAACTGTACAGATCTAATGTCGTGCTACTTGTCCTGTCCCTCTTACAAGGGTTCCATTCTACCGCACTTTGATGACCTGTTTGCACAGGAGGTTTTAGGTCTCCTTTTTACCCTGCTTTACTCTACTCCTCATTTCCACAGAGAGAAAACTTGTAATTTATCTCAAAGCTGCTGCTCCCYTCTCACAATCAGCYGCATGGACTCCACAGTCCTGTGCGTTTCACAGAAGGAGAAACATGGTGGAGAAGAGAGACTGATCTGGATGAAGCAGGAGCATGAGAAACTCACCTGGCAGGAGTCCTTTCCCCCCTCCAGGAAGCCCAGGCAGAACATGTTGTCAGTGACCTTGCCTGGGTAGGAATTGTGGCAAGCAGTGTCAGAGAGCACAGGGGCGTCCAGACACTGCAGGAGGGAAGGATATACTTCTGTGGAATGCAAGAGTGAAAATGGAAGATTAACCCCACAGGATTCCCAGGTTCATGTCCATTCGTCTCCTCTCTTTCATAATATTCCCACTCTTTTCTTTCCACTTTCCAATGCTTGTAATCTCAGGGAAACTTAATTTCTAGAGGATACTCTGAAAAGTTCTAATCAGGTGTTTCTCTGACAGGAGCATCAGCAGCCAAAGATCTCAAAGACAGAGACTGCTTTCTCAAGCAGCTGTATAACTCAGGCTCTACGGAACCCTTTAGCCTCTCTGTTCTAGTTCCCTCCTCGGTATCTTGTTCTTTGCACATCTCTAATAAGCTTCCAGATAGATACCTTGATATTTTTTAGAAGGTAATTTTTCTTGGTCTTCTCCAGGATCTCAGGAAAGAAGTCTTATGCATTTTAATTCATATATTCTAACATTACATCTAGTCAAAACTATCCTCTGTCAACCTTGCCTTGAGTGAAACTTTGTAACTGACACTCCACGTGTCTTTCACCTCCATGTTCTTAAACCTGGTGCTTGTGTTCCAGGTGACACTTATGGCCACTGCTCACAGTGTTGCCCCAGCCAGACACAAGGCACTGAGTCCCAGCAGATGGACAGGATCTCGGCAGAGAGAGAGTAGTCACTCGAGAGCTGATGGTGGCCGGGGATGTCAGTTTGATCAGCATGATGTCSTTATTTAAGGTGTCTTTATCAAAGTTGGGGTGCCGGATGATCTTGGCTGCCTGAATTTACTGCTCATCACCCTCAAGGACGTCAATGTTGTGTTCTCCCAGACGCACCTGTATCCGGCTGGATTCAAGGATTAAATGTTTCATGGTGTCACACTTGAGCTTCTTCCCCTTCCCCTATCCCTCACTTACAGTAGAAGCACAAACTCCATTCTTTTCCACTATTCAGTTACACAGGTAATGGTGCATGTAAGGCAACAGTGTGTTCTACCAAACAAGGTGAAGCTTATGGAACGTTTTAGGCAAAAATCACTGCACACACATAGACTCACTTCCACATCTTGTTAGATTAATAAGGCATAGGAATAGGTACCAAGGAAACAGTCGGTATCAAAAAGGGGATTGTGACAGCTGCTATTTCTCTTCTGTTGGGATCACTGAGCACCAAAAGGAGATGATACAAGAATCGTAGAGATAGCAGAAAATTAAAGGAGCAGGATGAATTATGCTTTTGTGTAAGGTATTATTGATAACAGGATGCATTTCATTAGCTATTTTCTTTTCTGGTTAAGCTGTGATGATTAGGGCTGTATACTGATCCATGTTCATTTGACATTGCTAGGGGTACTTCATCCACCACTGTTTCTCCTCCACTTATTTTTTTACCAAAGTTTTGGAAGACATCAGGAACATTAATGGGTTCTGCTCCATTTAAAAACCTCTCAATGCATTTTACAATTTTTGAATGCATAGTTAGTCTCTTAGGATCTGAATACTTTACCTATTAAGCATAATTCCAGTATATACTATTTGTGTTTTTGCCCAGGTGAGAGGATAAAATGATCTTAGAATTCAGGAATGTGAAGTCAGGTCACTTACCGCTTGTAGCAGTGAGCTGCAGTCAGCACCCACTGGTCACTGATGAGGGAGCCTCCATATAAATGGTAGCCCACGTTCAGTGACACCTGGTAGGGCAGGGAATTCTTTGCACAGGTGTAGCCTCCAACGATCTTGTCATCATCATCAGTGGGGAGAGCAACTGACAGAGAGGATTGGGTAACTTCCATTAAACAAATCCATTTTGCATTCCCGACTCCACCATGAAAATTTTGCAGAAGAACCAGGAAAGGGATGAAAATGTTCTCTTGTTTCTTAGAATCAGAAAATGGTAGTTTATGGCATTTTTTTTGAAAAAGTATTATTCCATCACTTTAACCTGAACCACTCTTTATCCCTGTGAATAAGCATCTAATTTTTAAATTGTTTAAAATGTTCTATGTTGTGGTTTTTACACGTGCACCTTATGTGTCATGCAGAGAGAATCAGGCACCCACACACCCATGAACTCAACAAAAACAGAAGCTCTTTACACAATGAATGGCTGGCCACCACTAGCGAGGTTTTAAAGAGTCCTTTTATACAGAACATTGCTCTGTAGCTGTACAAACCCACCAGACTTTTGGAGTCCTCTGACTGGTGTGTGTTTGTGGTGACTAATGGAGTATTGTTCTATACAGCAGTCTCCATCAGATTTTGTATTATTCTTTCCTTGAATGAAGTGTGAGTTTTGTACTTTTATTCTCTTTATTTTTCTCCTCAATCCTAGCCTAAAATATTCACTATGTCATGATGAGATTTTAGGATTATAGGATTCCTCTCCTCAACCTTTCCATAGATCCCAATTATCTCTCAAATTATCTCCAATTATCTCTCAAATGTCTGTCCATGCATTCAGCCTTGTGAAGTATGGTCCCCTGATTTCACAAGATTTTCTACTGCTCCAGAATTGTGTTAATTTGTCACATAAATTCTTTTATTTCCAATATTTGGACATATATTTAATAAAGAAGTGTCCAGGCATGTGTTTAAATGTATTAAATTTATAGCTGTCCAATTTTGCAATCAGCAGCATTAAGGTGTAGTAGTATCTAAATAGAAATTCACATTTGTCTATTTTCCTTCATGAGTGAATGATGATTGATTTTATTCCAAAAACTTTTCATTAGAAAAGTTGTCACAGAAAAAACAATAGGAGTGGGATAAAAATAGCATGACTCCTTGGGTAAATAACCATCCCTTTAATATTCAGGAGTCTCAGGTTTTCATGTTCACRGCCCACTGAGAAGCACAGAGTAGTCTCAGTTATAAATTCCAAATTCTTACAGATGTCAAGACAACACTTATTTCATGTGGACTATCCTCTCCTTTACTTTCCTCCTTCATAGAATTCACCTGGAAGTTCAGGACAAGTTGGGCTTTTCTAGGTCTTCTGTTCTGAATGTCCCCTGTCACCATGACCTTCCTTGGACTAGTGAGTGCAAATCATCTCTAACCCTGTAGCTTCAACATTTTAAGCTTCTTGGGTACAGAGCCTATATCTAACATCTGTGGTTGTTTCCCTCAGCCCAGCATACAGATTTACATAGAAGATAGACACCTGCTTTTTGGATCATTAGAGAGAGTCACCTGAAGCTCCCAGGAAAGCAAGGAAGATGAAGATCTTCATGGTTGCTCACTGGATCAGGATTGGGAATGAGACGAAGGCTTTCCAGGGAGGTATTTAAACCTCCAGTTTGTCCTTGTCACCCATAGCCACAGGAGCCAGAAAAGGTTTCACTGGAAACTCATATATCTAAGTTTAGATTAATTCCTCAACACATGCAAAGTGACTCAGCATATAATTTTAACACCCACAATTTTCCACTTTTACAGAAGGTTATGGGAATAAAATTCCCAGACCCACCTGGTAGAAACTCCTCCCCATAATAGGAACATAAGTTTAGTAAGGTCACACAGCAAAGCTCCAGGTTTCTACATTCCCAGACAAAAATCTTAGATCCTTGGTTGCTCTGATTGTGAAGTTTTAAGCTAAAAAACGTCTGGAGTTCTGCACACTTATGTTTAATTTCAAGTGTCTGTTAACAATTATATACCTGGTCTTATGCTAGTCCTCATCTTGTATATCCAAGTTAACTTTTCTATATTATCAGGRACAACTAGTTCTGCCCAAAAATGGAAAGTAGGTTTAATTTTGAAATATAATAGTCAAAAAGTAAAAGTAGAAGAATGACAATAAGTAGCACTTATCTAGAGTTTGCTGTATGTCAAGGAGAATTTGTTTCATGATATGCGATTTCAGTAACAAACAATCCCCAGAAATACTAAATGGACAACTCTAGAAATAAGTAACTAAACTTTTAATTAATTTTATTATACTACATTATCCTATTTGTTTTATTTTGTTATTAGATATTGTCATTGTTGTTGTTTGGGTAGTGCTGGGGATTGAACTCAGAGTCTTGCCTATGCTAAGCAAGTGCCAGTAAGCTATGTCCCCAGCCTTTGTTGTTAATCTTTTACTGTGCCCATTTTATTAACTAAACTTTGTCATACGTATATATGTATAAGAAAAACATTATCCATAGGATTTTGTACTATCTGCAATATCAGGAATCCACTGAGACTTGAACACATTCTGAAAGTTAAGCCTGGAGTACTGTGTTCTAAGTACTTTGCCTATATTAATACAGAATTCTCATAACAACCATAGAAGATACTTCCTATCATCCCACTTCACTGATGTGAAAACTAAGGCAACATGGTTATAGGGGACTGGCCAAAAAAGCACACAGGAAACACCTGGAAGAATTGGGATTCTCAGACTCTGTGCTCTTTTGATATTACCCAGGTAATATCAAATTCTTGGCAGATGATCATGCAAGTGGACTGTGTGGAGCGTTTCTCACGTGACCTGTGCTGTCGAAGAGGGGTCTGTGCAACAACTCTTTTTAGAGTCCATTTCTTCAACTGCCAAACTCACACAATAATAGTGTGTATGAAAACATATTCTGGAATTGCAAAAAAAAATGGTTCATGGTGCAGAAATTACCAAAATTAATGGAGAATGACACAAGTAGCCAATGGGAGTCAATGGGAAGGAGAAATAACCTCTTGCTGCATAAAATAGCCAGTTTCTACACCTATACAATGTATCTGAAGTTGCCTACCAGGACATTATTTCTGCTAAGGCAAATTGTCACTGTTGAAGTTGTTTATGGTTTCTTGTGTTTCCATTTGACTCTGTTGTTGTTGTTATTGTTGTGGCCTTAAGGACACTGATGGAAATGCACAGTTCCTCCAACCTCCACGTTATTAAGATTTGGGTACAGACACTATCCAAATACAACTGTATAGCATACAGAAAAATAAGTTATAACGACTGACTGTTGTTTAATAGGCAAATTGCATATGTATATATTCGTATATGCATATACATAATCCTTGGACAGTTGGGATAATGTTAAAAGACATGTATATCAATGGGTTTGTTTTGTTGAATGAATTTATGGCTCAGGGTAAAAGAAGAGAGTAATTAATGGAGGATAAAATGAATTGTGGTCTGGTGAAAAGAAAAATAGAGAAATGAGGGGAATCATTTAAAATATTGCTTCCAGGTAATGTTCCAGAAATCTCAAGGCCAATGTGGGAGAGAAACTGGAGGTAGCAGTCTGAGTATGTTAGAACCAAGGAGTATCTCTAAGACTGAGGATATTTGTCTGTGCCTGTTCAACAGATTGGCATTCTAAATTGAATTTTGAAAGCAAGACTAAAATAATACTAAGACAGTTGATATTTTTATTTTTGAATGATCTTTAAATTACTAGTTACTCTCCGTGAGTTGCTCAGTTTGGCTTTTCCATAAAATAATGAAGTCAATATGATTGGAAGGCAAAATGAAACTTGTTTTGGTCTTATTTTAAGACAATTTCCTTCAAAAAGRGAAATTGGGCATGTGTTGAACTTCATTGCTTTTTCATGGCACAACAGAAACTTGATTATGAAATTTCCCCTGGGAAGTGAAGTAATTATTTCCCAGATGATATACTGATAAAAATAAATAAATGTATTTACATAAGTATCTAAGCTTCTAAGTAGAGATAGTACTTCACTGAAATTTATATAAAATTTAATAACCATGAGGTTAACAGTTGAGAATTATTTTCTCCAAGCTTTCAGTAACAAAAGATAACTACATTTATGTATTCAAATACTTAGTTATAGCAAGTGAAAAACCCAGCCTCCAGTCAGTTACCCATCATCTCAGATTTTTGCCCCTTCACATTCCCTCCTACTTGCACAAGAAATGCCACCCCTTTCTGCAACATGAATTAGATATTTATTACACTCCATATGTTTCAGTAATCTCCTCTGAATTTTCCAAGTGGCTCTTCATGCTGAACTCCAGTATRTTTGGGTGGGTCTTTCATACTTTTCTTGGATTTTACTTTAATCAGAARGTCTATCTTCCCTTTAGTCAGGTCTCCATTCCTTATAGCATTTTCCCCCTGATCAGCATCATATTCTACTTATTTGCAATCTATTTACCAATCAGAACACATATGTGAGGAATTCAGGGTTTATAGGTGTTTGTTTCATCATTTTATCCTTAGTGCATAGACCAGAACCAGGAATATCACAGACCCTCAGTGTTTGACAAGTAACTGATTGGCTAAATAAAGAGAAAACTTAAATTTCCTCCATTGAAGGAAATGCCATGTTTATTTAGTCAATCCTCTGTTAATGTTTATTTGTGTTCTTTCCCTTTTATACCACAGGTAGAGAATTTATCAATAGACATATGTCAGTAGTGGAGACTGTTCTTGCCTCTTGGTCTTCTCCTTTTTCTCTTTGTAATTCTTCTAGCTCAATTTAGCTAATCAGACTTACACCAAACAGATCCTCTGAATCCAAGTTTCCACACACTTGGATTCCAAGAACCATAGATCAAAGATATTTTAAAAATAGGGCACATGTGCACTATTGTTCACTAACTTAATTGTCATTATTTCCTAAGAAATACAGTAAAACAACTCTTTGCAAAGCAATTCTATTGTATTAGGTACAATAATTAATAGAGAGGTGATCTAAGATAAGGGGTATATGCACAAGTTATATGTAAGTCGCACCCCATTTCACATAGAGGACTTCAATAGCTCCAGATTTTGATATCTCTGGATAATCCTATTATCAACTCTTCATGGTTACCATGGGACCACAGTGCCACCAAGTCATGCTTTCTGCAGAATGAACAACCCACCCCTTGTTCCAATGCTTGGCTATGTAACTTAATTGTAAAGATATTGGTACAATTTCACTTGGTTACTGGTTCAAGGGTATGTAGTAACTGCTTTCAGATAATGAGATACTTACACAATGTCTCAGCATGCTTCTGGCGGCAAAGATGTTCTGTAATAAGGTTTGGGGAAACAACTTCATCCCTTTCTCTTCTATAGGTGGAAGGGAAAGTGTAGTTCTGAGAGACATTTTGTGACCTCAAAATTTGGTCCTTTGGATAGAGCTCACAGTAATGAAAGCAGAGGGCAGAGGCAGAGATAAGGTATGAGATTTTTTAAGTTGCTGAATCCAACCATATTTGAGGTCCTCTTACTCTTTGTGCATTTTGATTTTTTTTTTTAGGTCTCTAGTGATTGAACCCAGGAGTGCTCTACCACTGAGCTACATCCTCAGTTTATAACCTGTTTTATTTTGAGACAGGGACTCACTAAGTTGCTCAGGTTGGCCTTGAACCTGTGATCTATCTGGCTCAGCCTCCTGAGCAGCTGAGATTTCCAGTGTGCCCCACTGAGTGCAGCTGTTCCTGCAGTTCAAAGAACTTATGAGACAGGTAACGTTTTATTTACACGTGTTTTGTATTTCAGGACTTATTTTTTAGTAAGATAAAGTTCTAATGTCTAAGTGGCTATTAAGAAGAGTAAAGRATTTATATGTTTTAGAATTTCACAAGAGGCAAAACTAACTAAATAGTTTTTTTTTAAACAAGAGCTGCAAATGACAGTAAGATGTATTGAAAAGGGGTTATTGGATGGAATCAAGGACAAACATTGTGTCTTTTCTTGCATCACTTATCTGTGGGGTTGCCCTGATGGCTTTAATGAGCCTCACTCCTGTTTTCAGGTCTCTGAACCTTCTCTTTGTAGCCAGGGTCCTTGCACAAAGCCGGGGTTCACTTTCCTGCCACTCAACTGCTGGCAGCTTATTTTTTAAAAGACTTTTTTTTCCTTCCCTCTTCTCCCATTTTTTCCCTCCCTAACTCAGAGAAAACAAGGTTACCATTCCTCGTTTTCTGAGCAGAGTCATCTGTCCTTCCACTTACTGCCCACCTGAACAAGAAACTCTGGGAATGAGTGGAGAGTGCTCTTAAGAATTAAGTTAAACATCATTTCTATCTACTGAGACTATTTGGAAAGCAGCCCTTGTGTGCCCCTGTTGAAAGCCCTCTGTCTCCTTGCCAGTTAAAACGACAACTTCTGTGGCCTGGGCTTGTCGCCTTACTCCTCTGCTAGCAAAGCAGCAAAACTTCTTTTTTCTTTTTCTCAAAGCCTCATCCTCATTATTGGATCGACCCTGGGGACAAAAACCGAGTTTTCAGTATCAAACCTGACACCCCAGGTGGAACCTAGAGTGGCCGCCATTCTGGACGTCTTG